CGATTATGTGCCTTGAGGTTGGTCTTCTTGAGGAATATTTTTGTGGTGTTCTCTGTATTTCCTGGAGTTGAATATTGTCCTGCCTTGCTAGGTTGGGAAAGTTTTCCTGAATAATATCCTGAAGCGTATTTTCCAGCTTGGGTTGATTCAAATACATTTTTCATTGCCCTAGAATGCCAGGTTAAAGAAGTGGTGCTTGGTTCAATTTAGTGATAAATTTTTGCCTAACTGCCTTATCATTTGGCTATTAAAAAATTACTAATTTCAGAATCCATTAAAGCTGTAATTTTTTTAATGGCTAGCTATGTTAAAGACATTGACTCTGTTTGCTTTCTTTCGATTCTAGACATAGGATGCCCCTGGATTAACTGCTATGAGAGGTTATTGTTTTATTTTTACTTTATTTTTAGGAATTTAGCTGTTACCATTCCCCATCCAGTAGCTTATCATAATGGCCCTGTATGTACAGGCTGTTGAACTTGAATGTGATATGCTGTCTAATACCCTACTGCGTGTGTTCTGGCAGACTGCTAAGTGTAGGATTTTCAGATTGCTTTCCTTAGCACTGGGTAGTCTAGAAGTGCTATAGTAAATTTTCAATATCTAATTTTGATTTCATTTTAACAGATACATCTTTATTTAAAATTCTGTGATCAAAAACTGATAGACATGCACATTCAAACTTTTAATACAATGGAGACAACTGACATGTTCTCACATTAACTCCCTCTTTACAGAATTCAGAGTAATGCTTTTCCTGCTTTATTCATGTGCTTGAACTTCTTAGAAGTGAGCTATAATTAGGAAGGTTTTGATTATGGGCTGATTTCTTTCAGTTTCTGTCTGAAGATGTGCACTAAGAGTGCTTAATGTGAGTTGGCAAACCCCTGACCTGTGTGTGTCTGTGTTTGTCTTCTGAGATATAGAAGGGAGCATAGCATTGTTTTCAACTACTTAGCCCGTTAAGGATTCTTTTGATTCACCTTGTCAACAGTCTTTTGAAGTTCATTGCACACAACTGCAAAACAAAATAATTGTGGCTATCTGAGAATGAGGCCCTTTTTCATTTGTCAATATATTAACAGACATATATGAAAGGGATAGTGACTGGTCTGCATATCACGTTTGCTAAATAAAAAACGTTATTGACGGGTAGGTGGTTAAAAATTTCCTAGACCCTATCCCATGAAAATTGTCGATTATAAAATAAGGTTTTCATGTTTTGCTCAAGAAAACAGCAGTATTACGCTTGAGGCATAATACAGGCCGGATGTGCTTAGGATCCAGGAAACTACCATTTCAGCTCTGCTTGGACTGGTGCTGGGACTTTGGAAATTCCCTTAATTTCCTACAGCTTCAGTTTATTGCTCCCTTCCTTCACAGGATTGCTTTGAGAAGTTAGTTAACCAAAGTTGATTTGACAAGCATTGTATTATAAACTGTTTCAATATCTGTTATATGTAGTTATTCTTAGTGTTTCCTTCTTCCCCATTCTATCCATATTTTTATGTTCTTTTTCCCCTCAAATGTTCATTCCTCAGGGCATTACACTCCAAGAGTTTGACAGATTATCTTTTGATATGATTTTAATGAGCCCTCCGTGCCAGCCATTCACAAGGTATGTATCAGAAATATTTCAGTGTTGTATTATCCATTTTCATGCTGCTGATAAAGACATACCCAAGACTGGGCAATTTACACAAGAAAGAGGTTTACTAGACTTACACTTCCAGTGGCTAGGGAAGCCTCACAATCATGGGGAAAGGCAAGGAGGAACAAGTCAAGGGCAGCAGGTAAAGAGAGAGAGGTTGTGCAGGGAAACTGCCCTTCATAGAACCATCAGATCTCATGAGACTTATTCACTATCACAAGAACAGCACAGCAGAGACCTGCCCCCATGATACAGTTACCTCCGACCAGGTCCATGGGAATTCAAAATGAGATTTGAATGGGGAAACAGCCAACCCATATCAAGTGTTGAGAAAGAGTGCTTTTGAAGGACTCATTAAATCAAATCATAGTTTCAAGCATGGACACTTTGAACTTTATCAGCTGCATTTTCATAGTTTGGAAATTTTTTCATAAATTCTTTTATCTACTTATATTTATTTATTTTTGTTTTAAAATTATTATTATTATTATTGGGACAGGGTTTTGCTGTCACCCAGGCTGCAGTGCAGTGGTATGTTCACAACTCCCTGCAGCCTCTATCTCCCAGTTTCAAGCAATCCTCCTGCCTCAGCCTCCTGAGTAGCTGGGACTAAAGGTGCACACCGCCACACCCAGCTGATTTTTAAATTTTTTTGTAGAGATGGGGGTCTCACTATGTTGCCATGGCTGGCCTCAAAGTCCTAGGCTCAAGCTATCCTCCCACCTCGACCTTCAGTGTGCTGGGATTACAGGTATAACCACCATTTCCAGACTCCATTTATAATTATAATTAAGCATTAATCATAAAGGAAATAGTGATTGCTGCCAAATGAGCAAATTAATTTGGTCAAAAGTGGATATGCAAGACTGTAGGGTACGTCTTTTATACTTATCTAAGACATAATGTTTATTTCCAGCCCAAATTACCTTAATTCATTTAAACTAATGAGCATTCAGGAATATCTTTCTAATACTGATTAAGCAAAGTGAATTTCCAAAATACATGTTCAAGTCCTAAATTATTTAATTGTACAATTTAAAAGCTAGTTAAGCATGCATTTGTGAACTTTACATTTCTTAAAATTCATATTTACATTGAATAATTCTGACTTCTTATAGCCACATTATAATCTCTTCATTTAAAAAATTATATATATATGTGTGTATGTGTATGTATATGTGTGTGTGTGTATATATATTTGGCTATGTGTTTTGGGAAATTATATCTTCAACCAAATCTTGACTAATTCATCTTCATTTAGATATTTTTAATAATAGTATTTTGAATTATTTTAAATGATAATAGCAGTAGTACTCCTCTAAGTGTCTTACATGGAGTATATCATTTAATTTAACAAGCTTATAGGGTAGGGGGCAGGCATTGCTGTTATAATTATTTTACAGATGAGAAACTGAGGCATAGAAAGGTTAACTTTCTCAAGGATATATAATTAAAGAATGTCAGAGCCAAGATTTGTCAATCATTTTATATATTCCATGATTTGAAGTAGAATATTATATGTAATAAGCAATCTAATGGAATGAATATTCTAATGCTGAATTTTTTTCTAGGTTTGGATTTATGCAAACAATTATCTAGGAAATGAATTCTCCAAGGATTCATTGTTAACCTACAAGCCAAGCATTATTTTTGATGTTGTAGTTCCTGTCCTTTGGGAGCTTATAGTCTAATGGGAATGGCTGACAAGTAATTATCTTACAATGTGATTTAAGCTATGTAATAAAAGAATGCTGAAAATGCCACAAGAGTACAGAGGACAAAAGGGCTTGCTGCATACCAAGAGAAGGGAGTTCATTCAGAGGTGATGTCTGAATTGTGTCTGAAAGTAGATTAGGAGTTTATCAGAGCAGACAGAGGCCATTCCATCTCAGGGTGGCTCTGGCATGTGCAACGGTGTGGCCTGTGGAGCCCAGTGAACAGGATAAACACAGCGGAATGCAGCCCCAGTGCTGTGAAGCCTCAGGTCATACTGCAGTGGGCCCCATTAGCTTTCTTACTCCCCAATTTACCTTGTTTTAGCACAGCTGCAGCTGCTGATGGCAGGAGTAACTAGTTCTGTAGTCTTCATGTGAAAGTCTGACAGGAAAGGGACAGAAGAAGAAGAACTGGAGATTTCTGAGAAGTCTGTTCACGTCCAGTCTAATCCCGTAGCTGAGCCTCTGGTCCACTGATGGTTTTGCTCCTGCCATCAGATATGAGGAAATTGATCAGTGATGCCAAGTAACTTGTTTAAGACCCTGAAGATAAATAGCGTGCTTTTGAGCCCTGGTCCTCTGTTCCTGCTGCTCAGACTCAATCCAAGTCGTCATTACTGCTTCATCTGGTCATGTTGTGGATCTCACTTGTAGGATCTATTTTGCTAGCCTAAGTACTGCCTGTTTACATGACTTGTTTTGACCCTAGTTAGTCTAACCAAGTTGCACCTCCTGCTTTTAGAATCTAGCCTTCAGCTTAAGTTTCTCCTGTTTATGTTGGACAAAATTGTGTTAGTTTTACTCACTATTTTGATTTGCTCAAATTGGCCACCAGTGCCAACAGCTCCAGGTTGCCACCCCATTCAGCAGCTCGTTCATATGAACTCTCGTTATATCACCAAGGGGAGAGCAAAAAGTGTAGTCAGCCAGCACATGTGTATGTATATGTGTGTGTTTTCCTAAACAAAGTGATTTTAAGAGGGTAGTTGGTTTTGTTCCACATTGACGTCTTGTTCTTTTTTGATTAATGTTAAGTCATTTGTCATGTTGTTTGTAAAGATAAATTTAAAGCGTACTTATTAGATATGCAAGATTTTTTTTCTTTTTAACCTCTGCCTTCCAGGTTTAAGTAATTCTTGTGCCTCAGCCTCTTTAGCTGGGATTACAGGTGTGTCCCACCATGCCTGGCTAATTTTTGTATTTTTAGTAGAGATGGAGTTTCGCCATGTTGGCCAGGCTGGTCTGGAACTCCTGGGCGGCTCAAGTGATCTGCCCACCTCAGCCTTCCGAAGTGCTGGGATTACTGGTGTAAGCCACCACGCCTGGCCTGATTTTTGTATTTTTAGTAGAGACAAGGTTTCACCATGTCAGCCAGGCTGGTCCCAAATTCTTGGCCTCAAGTGATCCACCTGCCTCACCTGCCAAAGTGCTGGGATTGCAGGTGTGAACCTCTAAGCCTGAACACTTTTTTCTTTCTAAGTGAAAAAATGTATTTTTTTCTCTATAACAACAAAGATGATTCTATTTTTTGTGAGGGCCAACTTATTTTTATTCTGTTTTGACTTTTAAAAAATGATTTAACATCTTTATATCAGATTCTTGATAAGCTTTTTGTGTTTCTTTTAATCCTTTAGGATTGGCCGGCAGGGAGATGTGACTGATTCAAGGACAAATAGCTTCTTATATATTCTAGATATTCTCCCAAGGTAAAAACTTAGGTTTCTGTATAAGCTTACCTTTAATTTAAAACTCCGGGTCTGGAAGAATGTGGTGTTTGTCATTTTATAGAGGAGAGCCATTTATACATGTTCCCTTGAGATACTGTGCATGTCATTTATCTTCTCCTACCATGACTAATAGAATAACTGCAAATGTTTCACAATTCCATGCTTGCCGCCACAGTGAGTGACAGAGAATCATAGCCTAATAGCTAGATTCTATTGCCTCTGCTCATAGTGTTGATGCAGATGGTGCTGATGTTAGTGAATGCTGTTACCCATGGCCTGGAAATATGTGCTAACCCTTAAAGCCACCCTTCTATGTGAGTAGCAGCCCTTTCAGTTGTGCAGCACAGACGCTCTGTGTGAATCCATGTTTTGAGATAAGCTTCAATGGAAATTAACATTTCAAATGTTAACTTTATCAAGTGTGCCATGTTTAAGGGAAAAATGATTAAAATATAAATTGTCTCCAGCCTTATAAAATTCCATTTTACAAAGAGTTCAGAGAATGACTAACATCATATTTCCTACAAGTAATGGTTTTCTTTACTTTTTCTTTTTAGTAATGAGATATTTAGAATTCCATTTTTTATTTTTTATTTTTTTTTAGATTACAAAGATTACCAAAGTATATTCTTTTGGAAAATGTTAAAGGTTTTGAAGTATCTTCTACAAGGTAAAAAAATGTATTTGTCTTGCATACACTTAGACTTCATATGTCTTATAGTAGGAACTGTTGTGAAATAGAAATTTTAAAAACCAGTGCATACATTCTGACGTTTTACATGTTATATCTCTTATTCATCAGCATTTATTTTTACTAATAATGTAATGTAATTTAAAGTTCTGTTCAACTGATTCTCTTCTATTTTGATATTTTTGAATTTGTATAGAGTAAATGCTTAGTAAAAATGGCATTTCTCAATTTTAGTCATTTATGTTGGTGCTTATTTCTGTAGAGGTAGAAATGTTTTCAGTAAGGATTGGTTCTGTTGACAAGCATTTTCTGCCCTGCAGTTGGATGCAGTTAGAATCCCTGTGTTGGAGTTCTTTCAGATGGTAGCTCAGCTGGAGAGAAAGCATCTCCCTGAGTCCTTGAATCAGCTGCTGTCTGTAACGGTGCTCCCATCTGACTTGCTACCTTGAAGATAAAGTTCTAGTTCCTATGGCAGATATATCATCACTAGATTAGCAATTCTAACTTTCATCAATTTGGATAGTTTTCTTATCTGTCAGCTTTATTTATTTGTAATAAAGAATTTTCTGTATGTTTTGATTAAATGTTATTTCTCAAATATTTAACTTAGTAAAAAACGTAGGGTCATTGCCTTTATAAACAAGTGAAGTTACAGTTTTCACTTAAAATGAGGTTTTTTGGGCCAGGTGCAGTGGCTCAAGCCTGTAATTCCAGCCCTTTGAGAGGCCAAGGTAGGTGGATCATGAGGTCAGGAGGTCAAGACCAGCCTGGCCAAGATGGTGAAACCCTGTCTCTATGAAAAATACAAAAAATTAGCCAGGAGAGGTGGTGGGTGCCTGTAATTCCAGCTACTTGGGAGTCTGAGGCAGAGAAATGCTTGAACCCAGGAGGTGGAGATTGCAGTGAGCTGAGATCACGGAATTGCACTCCAGCCTGGGCAACAGAGTGAGGTCTCAAAAAAAAAAAATAAATAAAATGAGGTTTTTGTGTACATTATTTAAATAAGAACTGCCTTTCCAAGTAAAGGATGAAAGTTTCTTTTTTTTTTTTTTTCTTTTCAGAGATCTCTTGCTACAAACAATAGAAAATTGTGGCTTTCAGTACCAAGAGTTCCTATTATCTCCAACCTCTGTAGGTACCACAGTTATAAATGCTTATATAAATTATACTTTAAAGGCTTTTTTTTCCCAAGGGAAATTTGATTCCATAAGCAGAGTGGCTTTATTTTAGATAATATTGTAGGTAAATTCTGAAAATAGTTTAGATATGGGTCTTCCTTCCCAAAGAATTTAGTGCATGCATATAAATTCATTTATACATATTTTATGAAAAAAATCATATAGCTTGAAACTCAGACTGTATTTTTCTTTTAGAGAGGAAAGGGATAGCATATTTTGAAAATATGTCAAGTTTGTTATTTCCAAACTAGGTGTTAATAATGTTAATAATTCATAACGTTTCAAAATAATACAAAATAGAAAACAAAATAAACATGTAGTAACTTTGTAATTACTGCTTTGGGGATATAACATTGAGTTGCAAACATTGCTTCCATTTCATAGATAAGAAATTTAAGTAATTGATCATGAGAAGACAAGTTATTTGGCAGATTTGAATTTTGCAATTGTTGCTGTCGGCTTTTTATTGTTCTTGTTAGTTTCTTACCATTTTTAGCCATATCTTATTGTTCTTTGTCCAGAAATTAATAGAAAACCCATTACAAAAATTCGAGATACAAGCTGTGGAAATTACAACATATTTGATCTCTCTCTCTCTTTTTTTTTTTTTTTTTTGAGACAGAGTCTCGCTCTGTCGCCAGGCGCCAGGCTGGAGTGTAGTGGCACAATCTTGGCTCACTGCAACCTCCGCCTCCCAGGTTCAGGCAATTCTCCTGCCTCAGCCTCCTGAGTAGCTGGGACTACAGGTGCACGCCACCATGCCCAGCTAATTTTTGTGTTTTTTTAGTAGAGATGGGGTTTCACCGTGTTGGCCGGGATGATCTCGATCTGTTGACCTCATGATCCACCTGCCTCAGCCTCCCAAAGTGCTGGGATTATAGGCGTGAGCCACCGCGCCCAGCCCTCTTTAAATTTATTTCGTATCTATTGCCTTTTAGCTTGTAAAACATAGTGAATCATCCTTTTTTTTTTTTTTTAAACAAAATAAGGTAATACATAGCCAAGAATAGCTATATTTGAATTTTTAAATTATTACTATGTTATCAATAATGAATGTAAAAATATCTATACTACTTCTTACCTGGAAAATATAAAATAGAAGTGACTTGTAGATTTATTTGTCAGCTTCAGTCTTTACTTCATTCAAATAAAAGTACAAAGTATCAGCTTAACAGGTTTAGAATTTGCTACAGTGGGGTCTTCTACACATCCATAGCAGATTTTTCTCTGGTAGAAGCTAAATGTAGACCTGTATGAGTTTTTTTTTTTTTTTTTTTTTTTTTTTTTTTTTTTTTTTTTTTTTTTTTTTTTTTTTTTTTTTTTTTTTTTTTTTTTTTTTTTTGACTTGATACTAAAGTTAGTACAGATCTCTTTAATTTTCTAGAGTAACTAACTGCTTTGCTTTGCTTACAGCTTGGCATTCCAAATTCAAGGCTACGATATTTTCTAATTGCAAAGCTTCAGTCAGAGCCATTACCTTTTCAAGCCCCTGGTCAGGTATTATTATTGGCATTTTATTATAAGTATTATGGTTTATTTATTGTAAATATAATTAGTCTGCTAATTTATTTTCAAGAACTACTTTATGTAGGTGTCTATGTGTCCTATAGAATCGGAAGTATAGACCATGCTCTAGATCCATCTCCAAGGCTGTTTCTCTCCTGCTGCTTTTATTGGTTTAAACAAAACAAAATGAAAAAACCCCATTTTTCTTTTCCTCATTAGAAAACAAATAAGTTAAAAAACTTACCGTTAGTATTGTTATCTTCCTCCTTCCCCCATAATTTCCCTCTGGCTGTTGACTGTTTTGCATTTATCATTTTATCCTTCCCATAGAAGCCATTGGTTACTTTTGATAAAATTTAATATTTTATCTTAAAAGTGGCTTATGAGTATTGTAACACATTGGTTGCATTTTCTTTAAAGCCAGTGCTATTTAGTTTAATTGATTAAAATATAGTAATGGTTAGCAAAAGCTAGAATAAAATAGTTAATTGCTACAAATAGAATCTCTCTGTGAGCAGTTTCACATGCTTAGGTCAGAAAATGGGGATGAATAACTGAGTTTCAGCATTTCAGTGAAATTCTCCTTAACCGATGTAGGAGAATGGACACAAAAGTGACGTCCATTAGTAGGGGATCTGTAGTGCCACCTCAGTCCCCTTATAATATAATACTAATGTTGTTCCCTTTCCATAGTAGGGAATTCCAATGTAAAGTTAATATACCTTATACATTGTGTTAAGTTAGTATTAACTTTATACATTGACTTTAAAGACTTCATCATTAAAAATTCCTGGAATGGTTTTTCTTTTACAAAATAGAGCTTTATACACAGTTACGTGTTCTGCAGAAACAAGTTTTCCCCATGGGACTCATGAGTAGAAATAACCTTTCACAGTGAAAAGCGCTTTACTTTTTTTAATTGCTAGTTTTCCTTTAGATCATAGGTATGTTTCAGTTTTTCCTTTTTAATGAGGGAGTATGGCAAAACTCGATCCAAAACACGTTTTCTGGAAATGTTAGTGTTGCTTTCAAAACTTCTTTTCCAAATATGATACAAATATGATGTTGTATCTGTATTCAGTGTGCTTTCTATTACTTTATTGAACGTTTTTATTAATAAATAGTAGCCCATGAAATAAATCATCTGTAGCTTGATGACAGTGTAGCTGTATGATTAATAACTGACAAGAATTTGTTCAAATACAGGTAAACCACAATTTCTATCTTTTAATGGCAATCCCATAAAGACTAATGAGGTTTTTTCATAATGTTGACTGGACATTATTAATTTCTTTTATTTTTAGTGAAGTTTTTGACAATGTGCATATTTTTATGTAATGCCAGGTACTGATGGAGTTCCCCAAAATTGAATCTGCACATCCACAAAAGTATGCAATGGATGTTGAACATAAAATTCAAGGAAAGAACACTGAACCAAATATTACCTTTGATAGCAGCATACAGTGTTCTGGAAAAGATACCATTCTTTTTAAGCTTGAAACTGCAGAAGAAATTCACAGGAAAAATCAACAAGATAGTGATCTCTCTGTGCAGATGCTAAAAGATTTTCTTGAAGATGACATTGACATGAACCAGTATCTTTTACCACCAAAGTCATTGCAGCGATATGCTCTACTATTAGACATTGTTCAGCCCACTTGTAGAAGATCCATGTGCTTTACCAAAGGGTAGGTTTTAAAGATCTGTTCATCTCGTATCCAAAATAACCAGGGTTTTTAAAAGCTATTGTTTCTTTAAGTTTTCTAAAAACAAGGAGCATTTTATAAAATGTTCTTGTTAGAATGATGTTTTTTCCCTTAACTGCCTGCTTCATGTTCCAATAGAACACAAGTAAAAATTCCGTTTGGCAGAACATTATGTGCACCACCCACAAAATTGCTCATAAAAGACAATGTCATTTGTTTGGTGACCTTCATAGGAGCTTGAATACCCATAGTGGAAACATGGTTTCTGTCGACGATTAATTGCTAATCTTTTAGCACTTTTCTATTTATGGCACATCATACCTCAAAGAATTGTGTTCACTCTTATGATCAATGTGTAATAAGCAATTAAATTTTAATCTAAAGAAGTAATATTGAGTCATCTAGAGAATATTAGGGTAACTTTTAAGTTTAAATTTTATTCAGGTTTTTACATAAGTACAAAAGATACTAAGATTGTAAGACTCTTCCACTTCTATCTCTTGGCCATTCAGTTTTTCTCCCCACATGTGACCAGTGATATCAATTTACTGTATAAGTTTCCAGAGGTATTATGTTTGAAACTGTATTGGAATATCCATGTATATTTTATCCCCCTTTGTAAGTAAATGGCATCATACTATATATAAACCCATTTTTTCACTGTGCAATATAAATGGAGTATTATCACATATTTCTGTTTTCATGGTACAGGTATATTATAATTTACTTTACTGGTCATCTATTCATGAAAATTTAGAGGGCTTTCTTTGGGTTATTTCTTGAATGTTTAATACATTTCTCACTACTTTTTTAAACCTAGAAAGGGGAAAATTATACCTTTTGAAGAAAAATTTTAGCCTGGCATGGTGGCTCATGCCTGTAATCCCAACACTTTGGGAGGCCAAGGCAGGTGGATCACCTGAGGTCAGGAATTTGAGATAATCCTGGCCAACATGGTGAAACCTGTCTCTACTAACACTACAAAAATTAGCCAGGTGTGGTGGTGGGCACCCATAATCCCAGCAACTCAGGAGGCTGAGGCAGGAGAATTGCCTGAATCCAGGAGGCAGAGGGTACAGTAAGCCAAGATCACACCACTGCACTCCAGCCTGGGCGACAGAGTGAGATTCTTTCTCAACC